TAGACGTCTGTCAGAGGTTGAGGGTTCGAATCCCTCCCTCATGCGTCCCAGGAGGAAAGGCAGCCTGGGTAGCCTTGGGCCAGCTGCCCTGTGGTCCCGGAGCACCCCCTGGGAAAAAAGGGAATTGTAAGCAAAGCAGCTTAATTTAATTTTTTTAAAAATTTAATTTAAATTTAATTTTAAAATATTCCAAACCTTATCTGGCATGGAGTGTGCATCTTTGCCTCAGGCAGCAGAATATCTGGGGTTGGCCCCGGGAGCATCTAGTCTTTGTCAATTTTCTAGAAAGGTGTAACAAGTTTTTGCTTTGGCTGCCTTTAAACATAGTTTAAGCTCAGCTTGTGGTGTTGCTTTCTGTCCAGTGATTATAGTCGTCGGTGGACCTGGATTTTGACGGTTGCCTTGTGTTTTATTCAATTTCCATGATCCTGTGTTAGCGATTCTTAAAAACAACTTGGTGTCCTCATTTCCTTATTTTTTTTAAAAAGAGGATTGTAAGCTGCCTTAAGCACCGCCTAGCAGTGGAAAGGTGAAGCAATAAATAAACATAAATGAATATACTGCGTTGTCTTTCCAGTCCACCTTATAGGAGAAGAGCTGGGTTTGAATGTGGCCTCAATTTTCCACTGAGTCATGGGTTCAAGTCTTCCTTAAGTGTCCAGGGGCTACTTGACCTGCCTCGCAGACCTGTTTGGGAGAATGGGGGGGGGGAGCGTGGATATTACGGTATATCAGCCGGAGATCACTGGAAGTGAACTGAGACATAGTAAACAAATGGGTCCACGAAATTTGCTGCCCCCCCAATTGTCAGCCGCCTGAAGCAACCGCCTCACCCAGCCATCCCTAACGCTGGGACTGGTTTGGCCAATTTTGGCGTCTCCCCTCGGAGACCTGACTCTGGTGGTGTGGATGCCCAGGTTTAGCCCTCTTCGAAAAAAGGTGTGGTTCTGTTGTGTGCCTTCTGAGCCAGGATTCGAACCCAGGTCTCCGGAGTCTTGGCTCATCACACCACATCGGCTGTCCAGAAAAGAGGTCCAACCCCCTTCCGTTACACTGAGCAAAGGGCTGTTGTTGAAACACAAAACCAGCAGAAAAGACCTTTGGGTACATTTCACACACGTCATTCCATAATGCTCCACTGTTTATTTCCTGCTGTTTTGGAATTTTATATAGGAAACGGTTACTTCCTGCTTCTTAACAAGAGAAAGGAGAATCATTTTCTAACTTTTAAGAGGTAGCTGGGCTTCAAGGCATGGTTTCGTTCCATTTTTTAGTGCAGATCTGGTAACCAAATATGCAGTCAGAAGGCGGGGGGGGGGAAATGCAGCTGTAAAAATGGGAGGAAATTAACATGTACAGTATTATGCTTTAAAGGGAGTGGGCTGCCACGGACATTTATAACAACATGAGCATATAGGAAATGCTTGCAAAGGATTTAAAGATATTCACTGGCAATTTCCTGGTTAGAAGTAACTTTGTAAGTGCTCGTTAGGTTACTGGGTGCCAAAAAACCCCACAAAACTAGTTACAGGTCATGGCGTGGCTTGTAACTAGTTCCTTTTGAGTTTCTGGGAGAACTTGGTGCTCATAGGGGTCAGAATCAGGTTGTGGATTTCTGTGTAATTGTGACATCGAATCATCACTCATTCATGGCCCGGTGTTCTCATCTCCAGTTGCTTGCTCAGTCGCACGACCAGCACCCAGCTGAGCATGCAAGCACCGACCGTTGAGTGAACGAGGCTTTTCCCCACGGTGGGGGACGCGATCGCCTTTACGCCAGTGTAAAGCCAGAGTGTGAGCCTTGGCCAATGTGACTGTGGAGCGAAGGGTGGGTTGCACGTTGCTTTGTACCAGTCCGTGGCGGCTGCTAGGGCAGAGGAAAACATGGTTTGGAAAGAAAAAACGACAGCCACCCGCTCCACAGTCGAGAAGAGAGCCTTCGAAGCTGTTTTTCAGCCCTGTGAGATCATCCTCCAGCACCCGCTGATGCTATCAGAATTTCTTGCAGTGAGCATCAGGGTTTCCTTGCCCACGCCGGCTGGTATGAATCGAAGGAGAGGGCGGGGGTTTGCGCGCCGGGCTCTCAAGACAAAGAAACTCAAGATTCCTGCTGGATTTCCTCTCCAGAGCTGGCTGGGCTAAAATCCGAGGCACATTTGTGCCCGGGAGAAAACAATACTGTTCGGTTCATTGAGGCTAAACTCTGCAAAAGAGTTTGAAAACGCTCACCCCCCCTTTTTTTTGGCATATGCGAGTCAGGAATTTATTTCTAGGATCTTGCATTTTTTTAAAAAAAAACTGCCATGGATTCTTCTTATTTTACTTATTTATTTATTTACAATATTTTTTACCTTGCCTTTCTCCTTAAAAGGACCCACAGTGGTGGTGGCTGCTTAGCTGTCCTTGTTCCGGTTTGTAAGTTCTTTTAAAGCTGGACATTAAAGGGAGCTGGCGGGAAAGAAAAAGGATTTGTTCAAAACACAGTGCGGGAGGAGAGCTTCCGGGATCCTCTGGATGGCCAGAAAGACGCACAAGTGGATCCTGGAGCAAATCGAGCCTGAACTCTCTCTGGAGGGGGAAAATAGTGGAACGGAGGCTCACATCATGAGAAAGCAGGATTTGGTGACTGCAAAAAAGTCAAATGGTATTTTAGCCTGCATTAACAGAAGTACAGTCGTCGGATCCCACAAGGTGCTAGTCCCCCTCTCTTCGGCACTGGTTAGGCCTCATCTTGAGTCTTGTGTCCAGTTCTGGACACCACCCTTCAAGAAGGATGCTGACAAATTTGAACAAATTCAGAGGAGGGCGACCTCCTTAGGAGGAAAGGCTGAAAGAACTAGGCATGTTTAGCATTGATAAAATAAAACCGAGGGGTGATAGGATAGTGCTTTTTGAATACAGTGGTGCCTCGCTTAATGACGATAATCCATTCCAGGAAAATTGCCGTTAAGCGAAAACATCATAAAGTGGAAAAAAAACCATTGAAACCCATTCAATGCGTTCCAATAGGGTAAACACTTACTGTCCAGCGAAGATCCTCCATATGGCGGCCATTTGCGCTGCCTGTATAGCGAGGAATCCATCCCTAAACACAGCGGGGAGCATTTTAATTACTGAGCAGCCATTTTGAAACAGCCAATCAGCTGTTCTAAAAACGTTGTTTTGCGAAGAATCGGTTCCCGAAGCAGAGAACCCATCATCGTAAAGCGAAATCCCCCCATTTAGACCATCGTTTTGCAATCGCAATAAGATCGTTGTTAAGCAAATTTGTCATAATGCGGGGCAATCGTAAAGCAAGGCACCACTGTACTTAAAGGATTATCCTACCGAGGAGGGGGCAGGATCTGTTCTTGATCAGCCCAGAATGCAGGACACGCAACAATGGGCTCAAACTACAGGAAGCCAGATTTCGACTGAATATCAGGAAAAATGTCTCAACTGTTAGAGAAGTACGACAACGGGACCCGTGACCTCAAGAGATGGTGAGCGTTCCAACACTTGGAGGCCTTCAAGAGAAAGCTGGCCAGCCCATGGCAGATGTTCTTTGAATGTAGGTCCCTGCCTTGAGGCGGGGGGGGGTTGGACTCGATGCCCTTCGAGGCCCCTTCCAACTCCCATGACCCTGGGAATCTCTGAACTTGCTTGGAAGCTGCAAAAGCTTGCACCGAACGAAATTCGCTCGTCGCAACGGCACCGTGAGATTTCCGTCCTTCTGTTGTTGTTTCTTGTTGAGTGGGCTCACCCGGATCCCTCTCTGAAAACTGCCTCTAAGTTGTGGTCTGAAATTCCTTCAAGGACAAGATGAGGGACAAACCATTAAAATGGCATACACAACTGTGGTTCAAAATAAGTGAGATCTTGGGTGTTTCCGGAGCATCCGCACGTCTCTAGCGGTGATGGGAGACGTGCGTGTAAATGGACAGAAGAGGCTTTCTGTGTTCTGGCGCAGGAGTGACACCATTGTGTTGGAAATGGCCATTTTATGTCGAGATGCGTCCACCAAGTCATTGTTTCTCGCAGAAACCGATGGTAGCAAAAACATCCTGTCATTGACTGGAACAAAGCGGATTTCCCCCTCTCATAGTTCAGTTGTATTCCTTGCTTTCACCCTTCTTTATGACGTCCCCCTTCTTTATAATATTGTTCGCAATGGACCCAGATCCAGGATATTTGTGTGATTTCGGGGTGACCATGGGGTGGAGTCAGAACCTGCTCTTCTCTCTCTCTCTCTCTCTCTCTCTCACACACACACACACACACACACACACACACATACTCCGACCACTGAGGTGCGAGGGGGTGCTCAAGACTGAGGCCACCACCACACCGTGGACATTTTCCCTGGTAGTCACTGCACCAACATTCTTCTTTAAGAGAGTTCCTGCTCCCAGAGACTGTGGAACTCCCTGCCACCGGAGGCCAGGGTGGCCCCATCTTGGCTGCCTTTCTGCAAGCCATTAAAAAAGACCTTTCTCTTCAAGCAAGCTTTGTGGTTTTCTTTTTTAAACAGATTGTTGTGCCTTGTTGCTTCGAATGTGTTTTTGGTACTGCTTCTGTTGACCGTCTCTCAGTGTGGTATTCGTTTGATCCGTTTTCCATATTTCGTGTACAGTACTTACTGTTTTTAAACTTAAAATATTGTCTCCTGATACGGCAAAAAGCCGCCTTTGTATACGCATTGTGGTTAGCTTGAAATATGATCTTTCAAGGATATAAGCCGCCTTGGGCCCTGCTGAAGCAGAAAGGCAGGGTAAAAATATTTGAAATAAATAAAAAAATTCAGGAGCTGCAAGGGGAAGGCCGTTTTTTAGACCTTTTCACCTTTGGGAAGATTCCTCTTTTTCTGCAGCCTTCCAGTCTCAGTTTACAGAACTTTAATGGTATGATAACATGCCATGGAGTTGGTTCAGAGTCGTGGGAACCCCTTCCTGGGTTTCCAAGACGTACGATGTTATTCCAGGTGTCGCTCGTTGTTCTGCACTCGGGTTGCGTGATGATGGCTTGGCCTCTGGCAAACTGGGGAATGCAAATATTATGTGCGGGGTTTTCTCTCTCTGGGCTGTTTTGCTGTGTCTGGATTGGATCTCTTTCTGGAATCTGAGCTGATAAGGGGCAGAAATGGGAGTGCCAGCATGGGGTGAACAGAGCTGGTCTGGAAGTTCACTGGGGTGGGGGTGGGAGAGAAAGGCTGGGCTTGCAGCTGAATCCATTGTAAAACCCCATTTATTCTGCAGCTATGCTTCAAGATCTGTGCCTCTGGATCGCGTCATGAGGAGACTATTGATCCCTTCCGGTGCTTTGTGTCTCCCCTTTGCGAGGCCCAAAAACTGTTTAAAAGGGTCCCGTATGCAGGCAGGTTGGCTGGTCTTTGGGGCCGAGTCCTGAGTTCCAGTCCTCGCTCCCAAGTCCTGAGTTCTGAGGCCCTATTGAAAATGAACTTTTTCACCCCCAAAAAGAGAGGAAGGGGTGGGTGGATTCTGAGTCAGGAGCCGAGTTCGAGGCATTGGGGGGGAAAAAAAGACAAGTTGAGTTCCCAGTGCAATTTACGTCCAATTTGACAGGTCCCATTACTCCAGTCCCCATCACTGTCAATTTCAAGCCTTTCCTGCCCATGAAAATGTCTTCCTTGTATCCAGAAACGGAGCAATTGCTCAGAAACCAAATCATCATCATCATCATTGTCTTTTCCTCCTCATCATCATCACTGTTTTCCTTTTGATTTTAGAGGTTCCTGGAGAAATATGGTTACTTTGAATCTCAGCATCAAGGATCCAACCTTGCCAAATTCTCCGAAGCCATCCGGTGAGTGTGATACCTGGGGAAGCATCATCATCATCATCACCACCACCACCACCACCACCACCTCTTTCATCTAGCCTTCTTCCCCCAACTGGTCTTTAGGGGATATTTGCTCTCACAGATACCTGAATCCTTTCTTTCCCCCCTTTCTGTTCTTTTGATTTCAAAAATAGTTCACGTCCTCCCAGGGATCCTCGTATTTAGCCTGTTCTGAGCCAGAAAGGGGGAATGCTGTGTTTTTAAATACTCCGGCTCCTGCTCACTGTAAATCTCTGGATCGGGTCCCCATCCAGCAGGATGACACCCCACCCTCCCACTCACTGGTTTCATTTCCTTATCAAGAAGCGATGGAACAACGTCGGATGACTAGGAGGAGAATGGCTTCAGCACAACAGACGAGCCAATGAGTCTGCTTTATTTTGAGCAAGGTCCCCCAGGGTTGCCTCTGTGGGCCACAATCCAGGGCGTTTCTGAACTGTATCTCAGAGACTGCATCTCCCATTATGAGCGGGCTTGGGTGTTAAGCTCATCAGGAGAGGCCTTTCTCTTGGTCCCATCATCTTCACAGGCACACTTGGTGGAGACACGGGAGAGGGCCTTCTTTGTGGCTGCTCCTTTAGACTTTGGAACTCCCTCCCACTGGAGGCCAGGCTGGCCCCATCTTGGCTCTCCTTCCGCAAGCGGGCAGAGACCTCTCTCTTCAGGCAGCCTTTCCCTTAAAGACTGGCCGCCTGAGTGAGGCTTTTGAAATGGATGGCCGTGTCTTCTTCCTGGTTCAAATGTGTTTTTTGGTATTGCTTTCATTTACCATGGCTTAATGCGGTCTCTGTGCGATCCTTTTTGGTATTTGTCTACTCTTTTTTTAGCTTCAAAGAGTGTCTTTTCACGAGGCACACCCTGTTGGGTCCGTTTTAAGGATGAAGGCAGGGTAGAAATATTTTAAATAAATAAATAGCCAAACATGGTGGGTCCCCCGCGGGCTGGATCGGGCTCGTTGGCCAAAAAGCCCTGCTTTATAATCCGCCTTTGCTCCTTCTGATCTTTTCCACTCAGAATTTGGAAACCTCACCTTCCTTTCTAGACCGCCGCCCCAAGAGCCATGCTGATAAACCCTAAAATATAACTTTCACATAATCTTCCGGAACTACGACTCCCATAGTCAACCTGTCACCAAATATCAGGTTCTCGAAGGCTGGTTTACTCAAGGAAAAGGTGCCTCCTTTATCTTTTCTGCGGTCAACTCAGCCTTTTGAAAAGGAGGAGAAAACCATCCAGGAAGAGGAGAAGCAGCAGCGCCTCACAGCGTCTCCCTCCGGATCATGTCCCCACTGCTGTGTTTTAGAAACGGGGCTTCCCAAGTCCTTGTTTTCCCTGGATGGTCGGGTTCCACCCTAAAAGCTCCCCCATTTCTCTTGAGACTTCCTGGCACGCTGAGCATCCCCAGGGCGGAGGCTGTCGGCCGCCTCTGGATTCCCTCGGTTCTTTCCCTTGTATGGGATGGGTCTCCTTCGCAGGACGAAATCCGCACCCGGGTGACGGTTCGGGGCCAGCGAGAAGATTCCACAAATGCCATCGCTGCCTTCTGGAACGAAGCCATCTTCAAACGCTCCCTCTCTGTCTGTCTCCTCTTTCGAAATTTCCTCTTGATCTCCCAGGGCTGCTGCAGTACATACAGGGGATAATAATTATATATATGTATATATATTTTGAGAGGGGATAATAACAGAATCCGCCAGCCAGCCAGCCAGCCAGCCAACATGGCTACTGGCAGGGGGTGGGTGGGGATTTGACCTTTCTTGTGTCTAAATAATGCTTCTCAACCGGCGCCTGGAGATCCTAGCCGGGATATATCCCTAGGTCAGGATACCTCCCTCCAGCTGTCTGGACCACCTCTCTCTTTTTTTGATCCCTTCAGGGAATTCCAGTGGCTCTCCCACTTGCCCGTCAGTGGCGCCCTCGACGCCTCCACCCTGCACCGCATGCGCCTCCCCCGATGTGGCGTGCGCGACACCGAGGGGCACACTGCCTGGAAGGCCCGTACGGGCGCCCCGTTTGCAGGAGAGACAGCCCGGAGAAGACGCAAGCGGCGGTACCTGCACCAGAGTAAGTCCTCGTCGGCTGGTGTCCAGAGCTGGTTTCTGCTCTTAGATAAAACCCCAATGGGGGGGGAAAACTTAAAAGGCTCTCAGAACGTCGGCCTTTGTTTTCTAAACCTTGCATTCCGTTTAAAGGAAATTCAGGGCAAGGAATCAGCCCTGGGCGGCTCAAAACCTCATAGCTGTGTTTTGCGGTTGCACTTTGACCCTGTGGCCCATGGGTGCATGCAGAATTCGAACTCTGGCTGCTGCCGCGACAATATCATGAACTGCCGATGGCACGCCTGGTCAGGCGAGCTTCCATCACCTTGTCAGATTGCTGCTGCAGCAGCGTTTTCAGTTCGAACTCTGCTCAGAGGCTAATCTCAAACAGGACACTTTATATGTACTTACAGCAGGACCCCTGTATCCACAGGGGATCAGTTCCAAGCCCCCCACGGATGCTGAAAACCGTGCATAATCGTGAACCCTATAGAATAGATAGCATGGTCTCTGGTTTCCTCTAGTGGCCAGTTGTGGTACCTACATCATGGATATGCATTTCTGGTTTTTTTCTTTTAATATTTTTAATATTTACAGACCGTGGATAAGTGAATCAAGAGATACTGGTCCTGCGGATAAGGGGCTCTTTCTGTATCCCCTTTTCCTTTTTTTTTGAGCCCATGCGTCAGAAATAAGTTTTATCTTTCTTTCAAATCTTTTGTATTCACTATTGCTTTTCCAATCTTGGCTTCACAGCTTAGTTTATCCTTGAGATCCACATTCCACATTTCTTTATGCCGTTCCTCAGTATGACGTTGATCATTATTCTTCCTCTTCTTTGCAAATCTCAACCTTGCCACAGCGACCATAATAATAATAAATTCTTTCCCCCTCCCTTTTTACTTCTTTTTTAAAATTAGGTTTTAATTTTTTAAAAAGAACAAAGCAGGAGGTTAACAACATTCAGAGGGTTACAAGTGGTTCAAGTTCAGCTGAAACACCTCTTGGCTTCACTCCTCTGTCCATACTTTAAACACATTCCGTACCTTCTGTACCTGGAGAAGAGACAATCTTTTAGCGTCGGCTGAATAAGATTGGACTAAAATATCCACACTGGAGAAGTTTCAGATCTTGCAACCAACTCCCTTCTTCTGTTTACAAGGGGCTGTTGGGTTAATCGCTTTTCTACAGAGCAGGCAGGGAACGATGGCAACTGATCTTCAGGGAATCAAGGAAATATTTTATGAGGTGATTAGGTGATTATTTCAGGAGCCCTCAAACTCTAATCTGAAAAGGCACCATCTGTTCTTAAAGGCTGAGGAATGACCCAAGGGAGAAACCAGAGACGCTGTGGCTTTGTTCCCCCCCCCCCCCATTGATTTCACACATTCATCTTTTCTGACATGAACCAGGCCTTCTCTTTTGGCACAACATCCTCATTCCAAGGCCTGTTTGTAATTAGTACACAGATGGGAAATGTCTGGGTTTTTTTTTTCAGATTACAGACCCTGGAATCACACAGCCAGCAGGATGGTGACGTTAATGGCCGAAAATAGCAGGGATCTGAAATGGTTGTTGATGACAATTAAAGAAGAAAGAATGAAAGCAGGATTATAGTTGAATATTCAGAGGAAGAGAAACCGTAACTGCAGAATGGCAGAACTTTAAGAGCGACAGTGAAGAAATTAAAAGGGCTAAGGATTTTCTATATTTTGGAGATTGCAAGCAAGAAATCAAAAAGAGACACGGAAGGAACTCAATAGCATGAGACGTAAGGAAACCAAGGTCATAGTAATCCATACCACGGTATTGCTATGTGTAGATGTCAAAACTGGATGGTGAAAAACGTGGACAGGAAAAAAAACTGATTGATTCAAAATACTAGTGTTGAAGGAGAGATTAACAGATACTATGGACTGTCAAAATGGGTGGTAGATCAAATCAAGCCTGCGCTCTCATGAAAAGCTAAAACGAATAAACGGACGCCGGGCAGATGAGCAAAGGCTGGAAAATAATACCTTTCTCACATTTTCTGATGTGGATCTAAGCTTTTCTTTTCTTTTCTGGTGCTCTTTTTGAATCAATGGCATAGCCACATTTTTAAAGGATGCTAACAAACTGGAGGAACTTCAGAAGAGGGCAAGAAGGATGATCGGGTGACTGGAAACCAAACCCTGCGAGGAAAGACTGGAAAGAACTGGGCAGGTTTATCCTAGAGGATAGAAGACGAAGGGGAGAGAGGAGAGCCCTTTTCAAAGACTTGAAAGGGAGTCCTGCAGAGGAAGGGCAGGATCTGTTCTTGATCATCCCAGAGTGCAGGACACGCCATCATGGGCACAAGCCACAGGAAGCCAGATATCCGTTCAATATCAGGAAAAGCTTCTTAACTGTTAGAGCAGTACGACAATGAAACCCATGACCTCGGGAAGGGGTGAGCGCTCCAACGATGGAGGCCTTCAGGAGAAGATTAGTCAACCTTCCATCCGATCTGCTTGGATTGGGATTCCTGCCTTGATCAGGAGGTTGGACTCGACGGCCTTTGAGGCCCCTTCCGATTCCAGGATTCTTTGACTTCTGGGTCAATCTTTGACGGGTTGGCTTTCACCTGAAGCTTTCTACCATCTTCACTTGAGGAACACTCCTGGAGACCTTAAAAGCTCATCTTGTTTGTCTTTTTTTTAAAAAAGCGATCCAGAGGAGGTGAACGCCCAACCTCTGACTGTGTTCCCTCTGGGCTTAGTTATGAGGAGGAAGATTTATAAGTGAGAATGTTTTGCACTTTTCCCCGCCTGCTGGCTTGGAAAGCAAAGCTGGTTCCTGGTTCCTCAGCAGACTGGGGTGCGTTTAAGTGTGACTATGTTGAGAAACACCATTTCCCCCCTGGACTCCTTCATCAGTATCTTGACTACGTCACTCCTCCTGCTAAGACACCCAGATGGGGACCATTGTGGTTTCTTTTCGCAGTTTCGGCCTTTCCTCTGGGAACAGGCGGATGTTTTGCATCTGTTCCAAAAGTTCCCCTGGGCATTCTGAGTCATGTTTTAAGAGCGAGATCTTCAGCAGTTGTCGTCTTCCAGCTGTCGCTCTGGGGGATTTCAACCGGTTTTGCGCCACACCTGAGATTAGGTGTTTTGTTTTTTTCCCGGGACTGCCACAGGTATCTCTGGAGGGAGAAGAAAGGAAATGAGGAAGGAGACCCAGCAAGGAAGACTCTCACGGAAACATGAGAAGCTGTTGAAAATTGAGAAGTTGAAATATTCTGGGGATTTACGGAATCAAACAGAGAAGCATCTGGGCTACTATTGGCTGTATTTGATCCATCTTGGAAGGAAGTAGGTCTGTATAATAGATTTGGGCATTCCTGGAGATTCTGGAACCAAAGGGGAGGACTTTGAAAATACTTGCTGAAGCTGAGAAACTGAACTCAAGGTAAAACTCCCCAAATGGTGAATTGTGGTACAATAGGACCCCGGTATCCATGGTATCAGTATCCATGGTTTCACTTATCCACGGTATGAAGAAATTAAAATTATTAAAAGAAAAAAAACCAGAAATACATATTTTATGATGTATTTACCAGAACTGGCCACTAGGGAGAGCAAGAGACCATGCTATGTATTCTTCAACAACAAAGGTGCATAGCATGAGCTCTGCCTCCCACTAGTGGCCAGTTTTGGTAATGAAAATCGGTATTTCTTTACTGTTTTTCCTTTTATCATGTTATTTGTAACATTCACTATTATCCACTGTTTTCCTCATGAGGGGGGCTTGGAACCAATACCCTGTGGATACAGGGCTTCTGCTGTATTTGTAGTCAAGAAAAAAAATCTCATAATAGACGGTGAAATTATAAGACGTATAGTACTGCTCTGTCTTTTAGGAGGATTTTTTTTTAACAGTGAGCTTCTCCCCCTCCCCCCAAGATGAAATATAACCTTAGATCTTCCACTGTCTGTCAAGCTGCTCTCTGGGGCCCTGTGTGTTTGACTGAGGTCAGCATGGTGGATGCACCAGGGAGTAATTTAAAGGCAAAAGTTGATCTCCTTGTTTTGCTTTTCTGAATGAAGTCGAAAGTTGAAATTCTGGGCTCAGCTACATCATATTCCAAGACGCCTTGATATTCCCCTTGATAATTTCTGGTGAGTTCATGGTTTATTTTGGAATTGAGCTGGGAGTGGCTGGGTCCCCAGTCCCCAAAGAAATATTTTGAAAAGGGAAAGCTTGTTTGAGGCACAAATCCAATTAGGACTAAGGCAGAAAGCTCAGCTGTGGTTTTTGAGGCTTGTGTGTGTTTATTTATATTTCTCTCTATAGGATGCCCAAAAAAACAGGTTCCGTGTGGGTCAAAACATTGTTTTAAAATCAAATAGCAACTGCATAAAACTAATCTTAAAACAGGGAAAATCAAAGCCAGACTGCTTTAAGAAAAGGATCAGATGTGAATAGCAAAAGCTCACAAGACTTCTAAGACTCTGGCACAACGCCCAATAAAATAGGGTTGAAAATGAAAAGCACAAACCAATCAAGAGGTAAAAGCGGAATTAAATCCTCAACATGTAATGAGGGTGGAAACGGGGAAGGTCCCAGGAGTCATAAGTTGGCGAAAGAAAGGAAGCCAAGCTGGCATCAGAGGAGTTTCTCCAGGGGTCATGAGATCATGGGAAAATTCCAGTGGGACCTCCATATCCGCAGATTAGTTCCAAGGTGCTGAAAAACATGCATTATTGTAAATGCTATACATAGCATGGTCTCTGCCTCCCTCTACTGGCCAGTTCTGGTAACTTAGATATACTGTATATATCCTGGAATTTTTCTTTCAATACAGTGGTGCCTCGCATAACGAGCGCACTGTTTAATGACGAATCCGCATAGCAATCTATTTTTTGCGATCGCTAATGCGATCGCATTGCGATGTTTTGAATGGGAAAACATCGCATTGCGATGATTGGTAAGCGTTTCGCTTACCGATCTTCGCATTGTGATGTTTTTAGACTAGCTGATCGGCGGTTCAAAAATGGCTGCTGGGTGCCCAAAATGGCCGCCGCAAGCATTTTCACATGATTTCCTCGCTTACCGAGGCGGCGAAAATGGCGGCACTATGGAGGATCTTCGCTGAACAGTGATTTTTGGCCCCATAGGAACGAATTAAACAAAGTTTAATGCGTTCCTATGGGGTTTTTAGTTCCGTTTAGCGATGTTTCCAGATAGCGACGATTAATCTGGAACGGATTAACGTCACTATGCAGGGCACCACTGTATTTTTAATATTTTCAGAACCTGGGTGTGAATCTGTGGATACTGATCCCATGGCTATAGGAGGCCCTACTGTACATCTTTTTTAATTGGAGCTCTCAAGCTCATCCAACCAGCACGAGGTCCCCATTGAGAAATATCACTCTGTTTCTGGTAAAGGCGACTGCAAAAGATAATCTTAATCATCATCATCTTTGAACTTCAGAACTTGAACGGACCCTCTGGATCATTGAGTCCATCCCCTTTTCAAAGAGGCCGAGCGGGGGAATTGAACAGCCAACCTCTGGCTCTGCAGCCAGAGACCTAAACCATCGAGCTATCCAGCAGTGGTGAGAATCGGTAGACCCATGTCAACTGTTGAAGGGGCTGCCCCAAAGGAGGAGTGAATGCTGTCCTGGTGGTTTGCTCTTGTTTTCTCTCATTCTCCTTCTCATCAGAGGAAAGGGTCAATCGGATAATCGGGCCTGCCGGCAGGTCTGTGAATCATGATGGTGATAATGGAGCTTCCAGGTCAAAGGGCAGTCTACCTGAAAATGCAGGGTCCATGGAGGGAATATTGGGGGGGGGGGAAGAACTTCGTAGTTTTGGACTTCAACGCCCTACCTTGTCGGTATCAGTGGAGTTGTAACCCTAGATGTCAGAAGAGTCCAGAGTTCTCCTCATCCCTTGTTCGAATGTATGTTTCACGAATACCTCTGGGTGGCCCTTGGGTCCGAATCTTCGATTTTATGTTTCGATGGTAGTACTGAATTTGGTGGCCCTTCGGCCTCATGACTTAGATTTTATGCTTGACTTCTGTGCTGCGTTGGGTGGCTTGAAGTCTCAAATGCTTCATCCGCAGAAGGTCCGTCTTTTTCCTTTTTTTCCAGGCAGCAAATGGTTCAAGCGGCACCTGACATACCGGCTCGTGAACTGGCCCCGGTACTTACCTGAGCACCAGGTCCGTCAAGCCATGAAAGCTGCCTTTGAGCTCTGGAGCAACGTCTCCTCCTTGGTTTTCTGGGAGGCCGTGGGGGAACTCTCAGACATCCGGCTGACCTTCTTCCACGGCGACCACAACGATGGAGTGGATAACGCCTTTGATGGACCAGGTGCCGATCTTCCCCTTCCTTGGTTCATAAACCAGGAGGAACAGGAGAGACAGATGGAGATTCCTGACCTGTGTCTAGAATTCCTTTGCTTGTCTGTTTCGACAATATTCAGCCAGAATCCTAGGAATTATTTTCTGCCCAGAGAACGGTGGACTTGTGATCGGCGTGTAGCTGGTGGCTTGATATTTTTCCCCCAGCGATGGTGCCTCTGCTCCAGGCTCTGGTGCGAACTTTAAAGGAGCCACCCACGCTGATGGACCTCTTCTGGGTTCAGTGTGGACCAACTTGGGTAACTCATGTACAGTAGTTTGGGCTGAAACCCGGAGCGGATTGACCACCACCCTCCCTGAAAAGCAGAGTCAGCAGCCTCCACTCCTAGCAGCATAAGAGTTTCTTGAGCTTTTGATGGATCGGTAGCCCAGATTTGATAGTTGAGATTTAAATGAGCTGTTTACCAAGGATTTTGACATTTGGAATCTTTATGTTTAGGAGAAAAGTGCTAGTTGAGTAGAATAGGAACCCCTTATCTGTGATAGATTGGTTTCAATCCCCCTATGGATGCCAAATGCATAGAATAGCGAACCCTACATATATAGCATGGTCTATGACTTCCTCTAGTGGCTAGCTCTGATAACTGCATCATGGAAATACATACAGTGGTGCCTCGCTTAACGGGCACCCCGTTTAACGACAAAATCACATAGCAACGAAGATTTTGTGATCGCTTTTGCGATCACATTGCAATGTTTTAAATAGGGAAAAACACTTTGCGATGATCGGTACCCTGTTTCGCTTACTGATCATCGCACAGCAATGATTTTTTAACAGCTGATCGGCGGTTCCAAAATGGCCGCCGGGTAAAAAAATGGCCGCCCACTGTTTTCTGGGATGGATTCCTCGCTTACCGGGCAGCGAAAATGGCTGCCGTATGGAGGATCTTCGCTTTAAGGTGAGTTTTAAGCCCATAGGAATGCATTGAAGGGGTTTAAATGCATTCCTATGGGCTTTTTAATATCGCATAGCGACGAAATCGCTTTGTAGCGATTTTTGCTGCACAGATTATCGTCGCTATGCGAGGCACCACTGTATTTCTATAGCAAACCCTGTACATAGCGTGGTCTCTACCTCCATCTAGTAGCCAGGTCTGGTAATTACATCATGGAAATATGAACTGCGGGTTTTTTTTTCTTTTATTGTTTTTAGTATTTTCCAACTGTGGATAAGTGAAACAACAGATCCTGATCACGCAGGTATGGGGTGTGTGTCCAACTATACCATAATTGTGTTGGGCTGGGAAAGGTTTTTGTCTAAATGCAGATTTAATCCATTGATTAGCACCATAAAACCCTTGAAATCAATGGCTTTGGGGCTGTTTGGCCGTCGGGGTGCCGTCAACGAGAAAGCTAGGGGGAGAAGGATAATCTGTTCAAGTACAGTGGTGCCCCGCATAGCGACGTTAATCCGTTCCAGGATTAACGTTGCTATCCAGAAACATCGCTATACGGAACGTAAAACCCCATATGCGTTCCTCTGGGGGGAAACTCACCGGTAAGCGAAGATTCCCCATCTGGCCGCCATTTTCGCTGCCTCGGTAAGCGAGGGCAGGGTGCGAAAACGCTGCGGGCGGCCATTTTCTGCACCCGGTGGCCATTTTGGAACCGCCGATCAGCTGTTTTCTAAACATCGCAATGCGAAGATCGGTAAGCGAAACACTTACTGATCATCGCAATGCAATGTTTTGCCACCTAAAACATCGCAATGCTATTGCATTAGCAATCGCAAAAAACGCGTCGCTATGTGGATTCATCGTTAAACGGTGTGCTCATTAAGCGAGGCACCACTGTACCTGGATGTGATTGGTGTCAAAGGGTTTGAGGATCACCCAGGGAGCAAAGAGACGCGGTGAATTTGAACCTTGGTCCAACATGGCCAACGTCTTTTCATGTCCAAACCAGTCGTGGGGACGCAGCTCTCCTGGCTGGGTGCCAACCACGGCGGCTTTTTCCCCGCAGGTGGTGCTCTGGCTCATGCGTTCTTCCCGCGCCGGGGAGAGGCGCACTTCGACGATGACGAACGGTGGTCGCTGGGCGGCGGGAAGGGCCACAACCTCTTTGTGGTGGTGGCCCACGAGATTGGGCACACCTTAGGCCTGGAGCATTCCCCCGTCCGCAACGCGCTCATGTCCCCCTATTACAAGAAGCTTGGCAAGGACTTCATCCTGAACTGGGATGACATTCTCGCGATCCAGAACCTATACGGTAGGTTTTCAGGACCTCATGCTTTCTAAAGCCAGTTTCCAGAAACCTTCCTTTTCCAGATGTTTCAATGCCCACCCAGATGTCTGGATGACACTGCTTTTATCATCCTTGGCCATCAGAGGTGATGGGCTTATCCTGGATGCATCTCTCAATGGGGGTTAAGTCAGAAAAAGATAAATGGGTCTCCATCTGTTTGATTCAGTGCATTTTAAAGTATCTGCAGGGGGGCAGCACCGTGGATGCTGAAAATGTGGATTATAGTGAACACTGTTTTAATAGTGAACACTCTACTTGGCACGGTTTCTGGCTCCCTCTTGTGGACATCTCTGGTATGTGCCCATTCTACTTGCTTTGGTTGTCAAAAGGATGAAACTGGATCTTGGATCTTAGGTGATCATTTCTCCTAGAACTCTCCTCTGTGAGAAAAGACATACCAACCCTGTTTCTCTTTTGCTGGGTTTATCCATTTTATTCTTTCTTTTTTAATTTTTAATTTTTATTTTTTTGTGACAGGGAAACCTGCTCGGGGCTCTGTGGTCCAGCTTCCAGGGAAATTATTCAGTCATTTCCAGGATCTGAGCCACCCTCTGGAAGGAGCCGGGCCCCATCGGGAGAGTAACTTCAGCTCTCATTATTGCTGGTCATTTTTTGACGCCATAACCACAGGTAAAAGTCAGTACGAATTGATGAATAAGCTGGCTGGAGAACTCAGTGGTGTAGGTAACTGGCTGTGGAGCCAGAGGTTGGGAGCTTGATTCCTCACTGTGGAAAAGAACCAGCCTGGGCAGCTTTGGGCAAGCGACACAATCCTAGTGCACAATCCCAAGAAGAAGGGAATTGAATATTTTGAATATTTGTTCTGAATATACTTCTATTTTGTACCTGGAGTCGCCATAAGTCAGAATTGACTTGACAACACATAATTATATCTGTCCATCCGTCCGTCCGTCCGTCCGTCCATCCATCCATCCATGTATACCACCCCATGGTGCATAGCACTCTCTGGGCAGCTTACAACTGTACATTGTGGCTAGTTCCAGTCAATACATCTTGGAAATATGTATATATATGTATAAATACGTATTTCTGTGTTTTTGATCCTGAAGATAGAAGGGTCCTCTTGTTTTTAGATGGATAACCTACACACACACACACACACGCACACGCACACGCACACACACACACACACACGGAACTAGAAAGTAACGAGCAAACAGCAACAGCAGTAGTTTTGTTTAGTTTCGTTTGTCACATTGATAGCTCACTTTTTGTCCAGCAAGCGCAAGGTGGCACACCTGGTTCTGCTTTTCCTTTCTTTCATCTCACAACAGCCTGACAAGGTAGTTCAGGCTGAGAAGGATGGTGAGTGGCCAAAGACCACCCAGTGAATTTCTCAGTAGACCAGGGATTTGAACCCAGCTCTTGTCCAGTCATAGGCTGACATTCTAATTCAAAGCTGCCTCAGAAACATCTCTTAAGTTCCTTTTCAAAATGACAAATAACTAGTTACTAATTACTTTTGAAAAACGGTAACAAGGAACTGTACAAATTCTTTTTAAAATCTATTTTTTTTTCCAAATTTTGGCTCCAACAAATGACATTCTGCGCTTCATTTTATTTTGGACAGATCTTGCAGACAACCTTTATATCTTCAAAGGTGGCTATTATTGGATAATATCCAAAGGAGTTAAAAACAATGGGCCACACCCACTTCGGGCCACGTGGCCAGGGTTACCATCCACCATCGATGCTGCAGCCTTTTCAGAGGAAGACGGAAAATTTTATTTCTTCAGAGGTGAGGATGCTTGCTTATAATTGTCCAGGAGTCCCCCGTGCGAATCCTGAACCAGCTCTGAATTCAGTAAACCACCATAAAGGGAACCTATTTTGTCTCAGCCTCCATTTTCTCATCTGTAATTGGGACGTATCCTGTCCAACAGGACTTTCTGAGTAATGGGGACTGTGACAATATCACTCCAGGCTTCTCTCTCCCCTTTGATTCCACTCTTCTCAGTAGCTAAGAGAGAACTGGATTTTCCCAGAACACACAGTTGCAAACAATTCCTGTTCTGAATTCAAAGTATTTGAGGCTGGGTTTGAATGGGCAATCGAGAGCCGTTGACCTTACCAAAGGCCTGCTCCTCATTTGTTGAAATGAGCTGATCCAGGAAACTGTAATGTTGGACTCTCTTTATCCAGGGATGGGAGCTGGATATAGAGAATCACGAAAAAGAGCCTGCCCTTCTGAATTTGTTACTACGCCATTATTGCCCTGCCTTTCTAGACAGAGGCAATTCTTGTTCGATTAAAGACTTCCTCCTTCTTTCCTGTGGCTCCCACGGCTTCCATGCAATGATGTGGATTGCTTGTGAGCCAGAGAAGACTTGGGAAGGAAGAAGGAAGTCTTTATTTATTGAAAATCTCCCCTGCCAGTAACATCATTCATCACCCTTCCCTAGGTATCATTTACATTAGAGAATTTCAGCCATTATGGGACATGAGTTTAACCCAGAAGCCTGATGGTTGTTGCTGTGGCCCTTCCTTTGAGTTCTTAGGTTTGCTTGCACAAAAACACACAATCCTTTTGAAATTCATGGGATTCATGCAGTAACTCCTGCTGCCACCTGCTGGATCAGAATGAAAAAAACATGTTGTCACTTCTTTGAACTTTTTGGTCGTGCATTTCCCAGAAATCCCCAGTGGGTGTCCTTAACCCAGAAACCTCATACAGTAGAGCCCCCACCTCCATGGGGGATCAGCTCCAACCCCCCACCCCCACGAATGCTGAAAAACAGATTATAATAAACACTTTTTAATAGCAAATGCTATACATACTGTATTTTTCCATGTATAAGGCACCCCCATGTATAAGACACTCCACACTTTTCTAACCCAAAATTAAGAAATCTAAGGGAGGCTTAGCAAGTGTAGGGGAAAGGGATCAAAGCACTGCAGGATCGCTTTGATCCCTGCTTTGCCCTCCACTTGTTTTTGTTCTCTCCTCAGCTTACTTCTGTGTATAAGACAACCCTCAATTTTTAGTCTAAAGATTTTAGATAAAAGTATAGTCTTCTACATGGAAAAATACGGTAGCATGATCTCTGCTCCCTCTAGTGGACAATTCTAGTAATGACATTGTGGAAATCTATTTCTCCAGCAAACGCTATACATAGTGTGGTCTCTGGCTCTCTCTCGTGGCCAATTTTGGTAACTTCATCTTTATAAATATATATTTCTAGGTTTTTAAATATTTTTAATATTTTCAGACTGGATAAGGAAATCAGCGGATACTGATCCCGCTGATGTGGGGGTCCTACTGTATGTATTTCTAGGCGTTTCCTTTTAATATTTAATATATTTTCAGACCATGGATAAGCAAATCAGTGCATACTGATCCTGCGGATAAGGGGGTCCTACAGTACAATATGACTCTCTGTCTCCCCCTGCAGGCGGCCGATGCTGGTGCTACAAGGGCTCCTCCCTAGAAATGGGTTTTCCCCAGAAGTGCAGCAACAGGGGGGATCTCCCACGCCATCCAGACACCGCCTTGTATTTCCAGCCGCTCCACCGCTTGGTTCTTTTCAAAGGCCCCAAATACTACGTGGTCAATGAGGAAGCCCTGAGGGTGGAGCCGTACTACCCCAGAAGCCTGAGAGACTGGGGAGGGGTCCCAGCCATGGCGAACGGCGCTCTCACCCATAGGGATGGCTCTGTGTACTTCTTCCGTGACGACCGCTTCTGGAAATTCGATTCAGAGAAGCTGAGGGTGATCGAAACTGGGAAATGGGCCCCACAGTTACAGTGGCTCGGTTGTCAGGATGCGGCCCTGAATCAAGCCGTGGTCTGACCTTCCTCCGAAAGACCTGTTTTACGTGAGAGCTGTTCATTGCCAACACCCTCTTCCCGGAAGTCTGGTGTCTGCTCTCGTTTGAGTTCTGGGTTCGAGTCAGACTGCTTGAAAGTCAGCGACAAAGCCAGGTTGTTGAGTTCTAGCAGACTTTTCCTCTGGAAGCGGCAGTATGAAATTGTGAGGGGAGGGTAATGGAAAAAAGTAAATAATCCAAAATGTTGGCTCAGAGGTGAAGTCAGTGATTTTTTGGAGGCCCGTTGGGGGGGGGGTGTCCCATGGAGCCAGCTTTGTCGTGGAATAAGAAGAGCTGAGCACAGAGGGAAAATGGCGACAGACCATGGGTGAAGCCCAGGTGCAGGTCAGTTGATGGAGGAGCATGGGGAACATTGGCCTCGTAGCCCATGAAGGAACCATCCAGAACAGCGGGAGAAGGCCTTGTGATGGGGCAACGACTACCTCTGGGAGCGAACATTGCCTCCAGCGCTCGCTATATCCACGTGGATCCCTTCCTCCTGTCCCCAGCCAGCCCCTCCTGTCCCAGGGATTGGGGCCACGGAGAGGACCACATGTACGGCTCCCTTATCTGGGCCACCTTCTTCACTGCTCTCTGAGCCTTGAGCCGGATGACTGTGGGTGGATGATGGACTTGAACTTCCCACTTGGGATCTTGTGGGACTCTTGATTTCTTCCTTCCTCCTGGGTGACGTTTTCCAGAACTCCTTTCTCCTCTTTGAGCAATGTCATGGCGTTCACAAGCTTCCTGGTGGCTCTTTTAACTGGATGGAGCTATCCTGCAGGTGGTGGTTCTCTGCCCTCCACAAGTTTTTGCCTTACAACGACCCGAGCACAGTGCCCGAGGGATGGGAGGTGCTCATTGTTCTCCAATGAGTTTCCACAGGGTGTGACTTTATAAAAATCTTGTTCAGTGTGGTTTTTTTTTCCTGTATTTGATTTGGACAGAGGCTTTTTCAGTCTTGTGAATCCAGATGTAGGTTTTCAACTGCACTGTAAATATGGCCCCCTTCAGAGTTGCCACATTCCCCGTTTACAATATATTGTTTCAGGGAAAATAAAGTTGTTTGTACAGTTTTATATAAAGAAATTAGCTTTGCCATCTGGGGACTCTCAGAGTGGTGACTGGACAATGTAAAGTTTATAAAAATTGAATTATTTCAGTTCCTTGGGGGATAGATTTATTATTCCAGCTCTTCTTGAGGTTTGCCTATCCCCCCCTTCAGCCCAAACAATATTTGCCTTGTAACATAGTGTATTTCAGAGAGGAGACTGATTTAAGCTTTATCTACAAAGACCAAGACTCTAAAAATGAGAGTACAGTTGCTGTATCAGCAGGTAATTGGTTCCAAGTCCCTCCACGGATCCTGTGAACCATGGATAATAACGAACAGTATACATAGCATAGTAAAAGAAAAGAAAAAAATCCAGAAAAAAGTATTTTAGATGTATTACCAGAACTGGCCATTAGAGGGAACCAGAGACCATGCTGTGTAGTCCAACAAGAATACAGTGGTGCCTCGCATAACGAGCGCCCCGTTTAACGACGAATCCGCATAGTGATGCGGATTTTGCGATCGCTTTTGCGATTGCATTGCAATGTTTTGAATGGGGGGAAATCGCATTGCGATGATCGGTAAGCGTTTCGCTTACCAATCTTCGCATTGCGATGTTTCCCCAACAGCTGATTGGTAGTTCCAAAATGGCCGCGGGGTAAAGAAAATGGCCGCCTGCAGCGTTTTCGCACCGATTCCTCACTTACTGAGGCGGCGAAAATGGCAGCCGGATTGAGGATTTCCACTTAGCAGTGAGTTTTCCCCCCACATGGTTTAATGCATTCCTATGGGGTTTTTTGCCCTGGATAGCAACGTTTCTGGATAGCGACGATTTATCCGGAATGGATTATTGTCGCTATGCGGGACACCACTGTACATTGCATGGTCTCCGTCTCCCTCTGGTGGCTAGTTCTGGTAAATACATCATGAAAATGATGGGCCCCCATAGGGATATAAGCAGTTCAAACCCACAGGCAGAGGGAGGCTCACACAGGGGTGATCCCATAAGATCAGCCGGCAGAAGGGCCAAACGGGGCCAGATTCACACATGCTCCTGGAAATTGAACCATCGGGTAACTTTAAAACCTCAGAGGAACACCGGTGCCAGTTACACGGTGAACAAAGAGATCTCCTCACAGACCCTCCCGCAGACTTAATGGTCTGGATCTTTCAAAAGCCTTTTGGTTTATAAAGGGTGGATATTCTTGGGCTTTACTAGTCACAATTCAAAATGCTAGGAAATGGCCCGAGATTGCTGCACAATATCGTACCTGTCTTGCCAGCAGGGAAAAGGATGCCAAATTTTACATAGCAAAAGATAGTTTGAATGTTGATGCATTTGCCATTTGGCCGTCTATTCTCCCAGCTTGGTGAGATGCTCCTGGAGCTCTTCACGATCCTTTTTGGTTTTCACCACCCGGAAAAAAAATCTGGCCTCCAGGACCTTGCGGCGACATTTCTCCACGCCGTGGGTGCCGACATGCACGACCACTGCTCCCTTGTCCCCAGCGCTCTTGGCCAGCTGATCAAGATGAGACGCGATGTCCCCGCACTGTTGCATCAGGCAGGCATTCTTGGGATAGAGTTTTGCATTTCTCGGTTGCAAAATAAATGTCCTCACTATAATAAGTGCTTCTTCAGAGGCCCAGCCAGATCCTTTGAAGGCCCAAATTCCAGGAGAGGTTTGGATAAGGAAACATCTCCAGCTTAACAGTCTTGGTTATGTTAATTTCCTGGAAAGGGCTAGTATGTGTTGGTGGAATGGAGTTAAGCAGGTGAGAGGAGGACTGAAAATCATTATAACAAGGGGTTGCCAAAAGGTTTGCTTCCTTCAGTTGTTTCTGTCTAGTTAGAACAAGGAAGGAAATCCACCCTGAGTGCTCACTGGAAGGACAGATCCTGAAGCTGAGGCTCCAAGACTTTGGCCATCTCATGAGAAGAGAAGACTCCCTGGAAAAGACCCTGATGTTGGGAAAGTGTAAAGACAAGAGGAGAAGGGGACGACAGAAACCCCATGGATCCCTGGAGCAAGGGGGCCAGGCGGAGGCCAGGAGATTTCCAGGCTCCCCACCCACCCTCCACTCCCTGGAGAGGGAGGCGGCCGCCCAAGGCCAAGGTTGTTATGGGGAGCCCAGTCGTCAGCAGCTTGGCTCCAGGTCCTTCCCCCTACAAGCTAGAGGGTCAGGATCCGGCCTCAAGGGCTGCCCAGCTTCTCGGCCCCCTCTTCCTCATGCCTCCCCCCCCGCTCCTGGGCCTTCAGCCAGCAAGAGAGAGAAAGAGCACAGAGGATCCCAGAGCAGGAAGACATTGGGGGTGTGTGTGTCAGGTGGAGAGGGTCCGAGGCCACTGCCTTTGGCTATGGGGCAGGCCTTCCCCTGGGCCCACTCCCCTGGGGAAATCCAGAAGAGGAGATGCCCAAAAGGCAGGGGCCAGGTGGAGGCCAGGAGCTTTCCAAGCTTCCCCCCCCGGGCTACCCCCCACTCTCTCTCCACCCCCCCCGGACCTTCAGGGCTGGAGAGGGAGGTTACTGCCCGAGGCAAGGACCCTCCCGGGAGGTGCTTTCGCTTTGGGGCGAAGGAGCGCCTTCCATAGGAGACCTCAGGATCGGGACCCCTCCAGGAGAGGAGACGCCCAAAAGGCAGGGGAAGGATCCAGCCGAGGGAGGAGGAGGAGGCTCTCCAGGGGGACGGAGGGCTCTCAGCCCCAAGCGGGGCCCTGGAGGGAAAGAGCCCCACTCCTCAGGGTTCCTCAGGGGGGGTCACAGACGCTCCCCTCCAGCCAGAGTGGGGGAGGCGCTCCTTCGCGGCCGGATGGGGACCGTCTCCCTCCGAGGGTCCCACACACACATCCGGGTTGGCTCCAGGGGGATCTGGGGTAGCCAGGGGGATGCGTCCTGGGTCCCTGGCTCTCCTCCTTCAGGGCTGTTCCTAGCAGGTTCTTCCCTGTAAAAAAAAAGGGGGGGGTCTCTGGGTGGTGCTCTGGCCTTTCCTGGCCCTGGCTGGCAGGCCAGGAACCACAGAGCCTTCTCTCCAGCACCAGCCTGGATGAGGCACCTTGGCTGGCCTGCCCTCCCCCCCCTGCAGTTTCTCTTTCCAGCCCCCCTCCCGCCTGAAGCCACCAGAACAAGCCTGTCCCCAGCTGCCCGACCCCTCCGTCTTGCCAGGGGAGGAGTACCAACGGACACCCCCAAGACCCCCCCTTGGCCACGGGGGGGGGCGTGC